AACACTTCATTCTTCTTTAAATCTATATCAATAAAGACGATCTGACCCTTCAATTTAACTATTTGTGTTTATTTCTTCCATAGTTTAGACGTACTTAAACTCCCTGCTAGCAAATAATCTTTGTTAACTTAATGACGAACAGTTTAAGTTTAACAACCTGCAGGAGATAATCTATCCTAATCCGAACAGACAAAAAAAATCCATATATGCATTACCCCCAACACCTTAGATCTTCAATGCAAATTTTCACATATTATTATTTTCTAACGCAAAATTTTAGTGTAAGTGTCTATTGCATAATCTCCTGTCTCTTCTCCCCAACATGAATACAAGTCCAGAGAGAATGTAAATGGATTTATTTAAAGGGTAGTATGAAAAAAAACTTTGTTTTGTTATTGATAACCTCATATTATATCAGTATATTTTATTAATATTTTTTACTATGTCGAATTTAGTAGGTAAGGTTGAAGCTCTTTTATTACAAGAATCATTTGATACTCTTTGTAAGGCGTCCGTAGTTTATTTAACAATAGAGGATAATATTTTACCTCCATATGAGAAAGTACAGGAAATAGTTGACCGGGTGGTCAATTTATTGTTAGCGAAGCTAACAAATCTTGGTCGAAGAACTAAGATATTAGAAATATTACCACAGGTATAGACATAAATGAGATTTTGTTTCTGTTTCTTACTTTAATGATGAGCACTATAGTAGATGTAGGCTTTAGTATAGTTTGGTTTGTCATAGCTGAAGGTCAAGGAGTGCTGGCCCAGAAGATCAATGTCTTTGGATGTTGAGGGTTTCTGCTCCTCTCTACTGTGCGTGACTATATAGCCAAAATAATAATGATATGCCTTTTTAAAAGTTTTTGAAAATATACGTATGGCAGGAATTATAATTCATAAATTTAGGATGGAAATAATGTACCGGTATCTTTTATCACATCTACTGTAGATGGAGAGTGGATATATTAGTATTCGCGAACTAAAAGCATTAAAAGTATTGAATATGAATAGAGAATTACTTATAGACCATACTCAGGAAGAAATAGAACAAAATCTTAATATGTTAAAATCTAAACTTGAGGTGATTATTACGCCGTTTGGAGATTTCTTATGTTTTAAAACTAACAAGCTTTTCTGCTTAGCATCCTACAACAGAAGCAGACATAAATCTTTATGGTTCACTTAAACAAAGTTTAGCGAGTATAGATTCTTCAGATCTCACATGGCGGGACCCTGAAGCAAGCATGATTTTAAGTGATAATTCAGACATCATGAAAAACTTGGGAAGTAGGCAAAAAAATATCTTTATGAAACCTCGAGAAAATATGAAATGTATCCTTCCTGATTCAGTTATCACTAAGTGTATTAATTTTGTGAAAGTTTTCAATGATGTGAAGAATGCAAGGTCTATGAAAAACATACTTCACAATAAAAAATGGAAAGAAAGTGAGATGGATTTAGTAAAAATAACGGAACATATTTTAGGCATAATGTAAGTTACTTGCTTATTCAATATTTGATGAAACATCACTGTCTTAATTACGTTTTCTTTTATCAGTAGTGAAATATGAAGCAATCCCACATTTATGACTAGTACATCCCGCAGTGAGCAGAGTGAAGAGACATATATGGCAGATGTCATAATTTCTTTACTTCGAACGAGTTTGAGTGATCTTCCGAATGATGCTATTTGTCTAAGCACGGCTGAACGTCAAAGTATAGCAAGCAAGGCTCAGAGGAATCTAGGAATAATTGGAGAATGGATGGGAAAAAAACCTGACATTATGGGTTTAGTGAAGCAAAATGAAAAATTATTGAACTATTGTATACTGAATCATTACGTATCATATATAGTAACTCAAAAAAATCAGATAACGAGGTTAAGTTATGGAGAGAAACATTGGATAGGGCAAGTTATATCAGTGCATTATGTAGACCAGTTGGCAATCAATTTGGTGTTGTGGGAATTCAGATTGCAGATATAACTATGTATCTAAATATTCTTGTAAAGGATTTGGCTGATATACCAAGATACTTCTATCTAGATTATGCGGAAATTCCGTCATCCCCTCATCAGTTACGCTTGAAATCTCTCATTCGTTTACTTTTAACCTTAAGAAATGTAATGATCGTGAATAGGAGTCTTATAATGCAGGCATTAGAACAAGCTACCTCTCATCCACCCGAAATGGTAATCCAAGTCCTACCATTTCCACGCCTCCATATAATAATAAATAGTTAGTGTAATTCCATGTATTACAGGCAAGTTCCCCGAACTTTTGTATTTATATTTTTGTATCAATAAAGGGATCGATCTGACAGATTGAATCAAATCAAAATCTGGATCCAAATTGAATTTTTTGCAGAACACTAACTTGGAAATTTGCTAAGATTTATTAATAAAGTTTTGCATATAATTTTATTAACTTGAAAATCTGCATAGCAATCATGAAATTATTTTTTTGAGTTTGATACTATGTTTTAAGATTTATGTAAGAAAATTAAACTGCAGACCTATATAGAATTGCAGTTTAAAATTTGGCTTATGATAGTATAAAAAGAACTAATTGAATCAGAGCTACAATTATTATAATTAAAATAAATTATAATTTTATTAGATATTTCTTTTAGTCATTAAAGACATTCAAATTATTCAAATAATTAATTATACAACCTTTAAAAAATTTTGTATAGTAAAATATTTGTTATATTAAGGGTTATTTTATAATACTTGTCTTAATATTTATTTTGAGTTATTTGTTTACTTTAAAATTCAATGTCAAAAAAATTATTATTTAGAAATACTGCATTTTTCTTCATTATAATCATTATAATAAGTTATTTACTATAAAAAAAATCTCTATAAATATAAACTATACTGGTTTAAGTAAAATTTTCTTTTTTTTTTCAAATCTATATAAGAATCAAATATATGTAAACTATTGCAATTAAATCAATATTAATTATAAATCTTAATAATTAATGCTTTTTGTATATTTTCCTTTTGTGAAATTTTAGAAAGATTTATATATAAATTAATATAAAAGAAAATTTATTTTTATTATTGTATTATAATTAATTATAAATTTCAATATTAAATTCAACTAAGCTATAGGGCTGTGCGATAATAAGTTATTAAACTTTTGTAAAATTTCATATTTTTTTACTTTAATATATGGAAATCACCTTACGGATTATGATATACTAAATTCGGTGATTTTAATACCATATAATCAAATTGTATAAATTTTATAGCTATATATTTTGAATAAATTTATTTAAAAAAATATGATAGATATATTCTGATGATTTTTAATTTAATTATTATTATATATAATTGAAACTTATAAAATAAACAAATTTGTTGATTTCTTATTATCATAGCTTCTTCCTATTATAATATAATTTATCAGATTAGATGATATATGTTGGATACGGGAAAAACAAACGAATTTGCTGAGAGAAAACCGTTCTCGAAAAGTAGGCAGCCTTCTGTCGTCAATTACTGGCCATCTAAATTTGCTGTACGTTATTATAATGTCATTTTATCTCCTTAATTTGATTATATTCCATGGATCCATGGCGGTATAAATTCTTTGCTTATATTGCAACTGTAACCGCTTAATCCGTAAAATCAAGTGTCTCTTTCAGCACGGTCTTAAGTATCATATTATTTTATAATTTTTGAAAGAGAACAAATTAGAACTTTTGGCATCAGATAAATATTATTATACTTCTAATATTTAGGAAAAAAATTTTTTCATCATTAATTTAAATGAATTAATTATGTCACCTTTTATAATTGTTTTCGAAAACAATGGATCAAAGAATAGCTACTCCAAAAAAGTATTAGTTATAATTTAAAATTTTATTGTATATCAATAATGACAAACACAAATACAGTATCTTGTTTTTTTTTTCTTTTCCTGCTCTCTATTTTTTTCCTTTCTAAAAATTATTGGATATGGATTTTTTAAACAAATTTTTTGGATTACCAGATAACATGTCAAAAAAGATCGACTTTATATACACAAATATGTAGTATTACGTTATTATGATAGACAGTTATATATAGATGAGGAGCATGTGAATTATATTTTTTTCCTTTCCTCCATTTCAAACCTTTCGGAATGACTATCAAAAAAGTGACTTTTGGAGAAGTACAAATACTTGGGTATGCTGATGCTTATGATCGTTCAATCCATGAAAAACAACCTTATGCAGCCGTTAAAATATTCAACAAGTTAAGACAAAATACATTGGAAAATAGTTGTTCATATTATAATAAGGGTAGTTTTTGTCGAAGGATGATATTAAGAGGATGGTTTGATGAAATCGAGTTAGCACAAATTATAGAAGATGAAAATATCCTTCCTCATTATCGAGTAAATCATACTCAACCGGCTTTCATAACTTTAACAGATTCTTTTGAATTTGAAGTGGAGGAAGCAGATGTCGAAGTAAGTCTTTGTACATTCTTTTTCTTCTTTATAATTATTTATCATTTTACATTTTCATTAGATTTATGGTGAGATTCTGAACGAATGTTGGAGATTTTTTGGATTTGAAATATCCGGAAGAAAATCTACAAAAGAATTTTTAGTGCTGGTAAGGCCTTCCTTCCCCCCTTTGTTTTATTATAAAAAAAAAAAATTATTTATGTTAAAATTTCTCGGGTGATTTTTTTTTTTAGTGGTTGAATGATGTTGTTAAAACTATTGATGAGCATTCTAGTATCGAAATTATGAATTTTCAGCAATATAACGATGATTTATCAGTACTTCAGGCCTGTGTTATTTTCAGAAGAAGTTTATACGGAGTGAGAGCAAACGAACAATTACTTTCAGAGAAGCCAAATGTAGTTTATTTATTTATTTGATATTCAAATTCTACATAATTTTAACAATTTTAGTTTCTCTTCTAGTGGGCTGGTATTACGTGTTATTGCTTTCCTATGGATCCATGTACTTTGCGACCACTTTTCCTAGACTTATCAAGGGGAAAGCATTTAAAATCCAATATCAAATGCTTCAGATGTGGACAAAAAGGACATATTGTTAAATATTGTATGAAACCTAAATATGATAGGAATGAAGAAAACAAGATATCTCATAATTTACAAGTAAAATCAAATAATACTCTGAAAAACAAGATCAATAACTCTTTGAACTCGGATAAATATCAGAACAAAATGTCATCTAAAGATTTGAAAATGAAGGGGCCAAAGCATTCTTTCTTTGTTAAACCGGCTAGTTTTCCGCGACATTACAACACAAAACTATCAGGATGTATGGTTTAATCGCGATCTATATATCTTCTGAGAGCCGCTCTCTTGATCTGTTCTTTGATTAAATATTATGAGGTCCGAGTTTCTCACATATTCAATATATTTAAGTAAATTTTTTTATTATGGCTCTTCTGATTTCAATTTCCTTTTTGTTCAAAATTATACATATTTCTCCTTGACGTTGATTTCTTTTTCGGCTCATTACTGATAGAAACGTAAATATATTAACAGAAGAATTTTTTTTCTTTTTTTTTTTTTTTAAAAAAAAAATATTAAAATGGGTAAATGTGGTTTCTTAAGTCTGTAAATACACTGAGTTTATACTATCCTATGGATAACAAAAGAAGATGATCTTTTTAAATGTAAATATCAATTAATAACAGAAAGAGTAATAAGCATGAATACATATTAGACTAGATATAAAAAAGTATATTAGTAATTTAATATGAATATTTGAATTTTATTATGAAATTATTTTATGTAGCATGATGAAGTGAACAAATATATATATATATATATTTCTAATTGAAAAAAATGGATCCTAATTCAAGATTAGAACATAATTTTTCCTTTTTAAAAATAATTTTTTTATTTAAATTGTTAAAACTTAAATAATAAAGATTGATAATTCTCTTAGATTTTTTTATTCTAATAATTATGTATTCTATTTCATTAAATGTATAATATCAATTGTAATGAGCTAATATTCTTCCTTCTTATAACTATATTTTGCTATTATTAAGTAGCCAAAGTTTTCATTACCAAACTAATTTAAAGATTATCACAAAATTAATATTTTATAAAAATACGATAATATTCCAGTTATAATAAATTTTTATTATAGATCTCCATTTATCATCCTAAAATACACATATCAGTATATGTATTTGGTTAAACTATATAGTGAATATTATACAGTAAAATTGAAAAGTTTTATATCTCTAATCATAAGTACTTTTCTATCCTATTACATATTATTGTATAATACATAGTTATATAGTAGATGTTGATAGAATTGGTAAAAATCAAATTTTTCAATTTTGATTTTCTATAAATTTCTTGCATAGTTTCATTATTTGAATTATTTATTGCAATAATAATTTTTATAATAAAAATAAATAAGTAATAGAATATTAATATACAATAGAATTTAATAAATAGTAAATTTTAATTATATTAACTAAACTATTATAAAAGAATTAGTTTATAAGTTTAATTTTAAAAATGAATTTCATAAAATACATATATACTAAAGATGTCTCCTTAAGCTATTTTTAGAAAATTTGAGTTTCGAGATATTTGAGATAAAACTATTTGTTTATAATAAATATCTTTACCTAAATTTCTAATAGGTTTTCCTAAACTCAATTAAGTTTTATCAAGTTTTAGATTTAAAAAAAGTCATTTTAAAAGTTTCGAAATAGTTTCTAAATTTTAAACTACATGTTAAAATAGATTTCAAATAACATCATTAATATATATCATATATATTAGAGGTTATAAACTAGTAGAATATTCTCTTTAATCAGATTTTATTAATAGAATCTTTAGTTTGATATGATACTTATCAAATCAGTAATTATTTAGGTTAAATAGTCTTGAAATAAGTTTTTAGATGAATATAAATTGATACTTATTTAGACCATTATATGAATCATCAGATATCATATTAGAAACTAATTTAAAAATAATATTGATCTATATGATCTGGATTTTTCTGATTAGATCAAATCAGATTACAGGTTAATTTAATTTAATTTGAAGTTTAACTATTAAGTAATTATATTTAGATTACCTTAAAGATTGTTTCTATAATTATTTTTAATTTTTGTTTAAGTTGTAACTTAATTGCAATATTAATAAATTTAATTGCAATACAAATTAAATATAATTGTAACATTTTTGATAATTGTAATACCATCTTTAAAATACTATTATAAATTAGGTATTTAATCATTACTATTGAATAAAAAGACAAATAAACCCTAATTTTTTAAAGTTTATCAGATTAGATAAATTCACTATTTAATCAAAAATAAAGAAATTGATCTAACTTTTAGCCTTAACTAAGGTTGCTAGACGAAATCAAGAGTTTAGATAGACGTCTAAATGGTAAAAGTAAAACTTGGTTAAATTATATTAAAACCTTATTA